CCCTCCCTCCCATCTCCTCCTCCCTCCCTCCCATCTCATCCCTCCCTCCCATCTCCTCCTCTTTCCTCTCTGCTGTTCCTCCTCCCAGATGAATGAGTCTCTTTAATCTGGACTCGTTTTTCTAACCCCTCTCCATCTTCCTCCCTTCCTCATCTCCTCTTCCTCTCTCTCCCTGTTTCACCTCTTTCCTGGTCTCCTTCCCTCCCCTTCTGCCCTTTCTCCCTCCCTCCTCCTCCCTCCCTATTCCCCTTCCCCCAATGCTTTCTTTTCTCCCCATCTCCTCCCCCTCCATAACCAGCCCCCACTCATATAGCAAGTTAGTAGGTCTCATCAATTAGAGCTTTGTCTAATTGTGGTTCTCAAACTTTTTGGTCCTAGGATCCCTATACACTTTCTTTTTTTAATTATTTATTTATTTATTCATTTTTGAGATGGTGTTTCACTCTTGTTGCCCAGGCGGAGTGCAATGGCACAATCTCAGCTCACTGCAACCTCTGCCTCCCAGGTTCATGTGATTGTCCTGCCTCAGCCTCCCATGTAGCTGGGATTATAGGCATGCACCACCATTCCTGGCTAATTTTGTATTTTTAGCAGAGATGGGGTTTTTCTGTGTTGGTCAGGCTGGTCTCAAACTCCCAACCTCAGGTGATCCGCCCATCTCAGCCTCCCAAAGTGCTGGGATTACAGGCATGGGCCACTGCACCCGGCCTACACTCTTAAGAGTTATTGAGGACCCCAAATAACTTTTGTTCATTGTGGATTGTATCTATCCATATTTCTCATATTAGAAATTAAGACTGAGAAAAGTTGTAAAACACAAGATGCACACGTTCCGTTAGCCATCAAGGTGATGCTTTCACCCATGCCTGTAGTCTCTGGAAAAACTCCTAAGAGAATGAAAATTAAAAAGCCACCTATACAAAAAATATATATATCATCATTATTATGAAAATAGTTTTGGCCTTGAGGACCCCCTGAGAGGGTCTCAGGGACCCATGGGGCTCTGGATCACGCTTTGAGAACAGCTGATCTGGACTTACGATCCCTTTTCCAGCCCCTCTGTGTGAGACCTCCCAGAGGCTATTAAGGGCCTTGAAGGAGCTTGGGAAAGAAAGAGGTGACAGCATGGTTGAGGAGAGCCACCCTAGGGAAGGTCTTTGGAAGAGGCTTTGGGGCAGCCCGGGTGGGTGGAGGAAGTCCCAGAGAGGCACTTGGGAGGGCTAGAGACCAGCTGAGGCCCGTGACCCTCCATTTCAAAGAGGACGCCTAGGAGCCTGGGGAAAGCACAGTGGGTGTGGTAGGAGACTGACTGGGGTTGGGGCCATTCCCAGGCCTGGGGGAGCTGACTGGGGATTTGTAGATCTTCATTTCCCAAAGTTGCCTGCTGAGAAGAAGCGTCCCAGCACGGCAGGTCCAGGCCCTGCTTCTTCAGGGCCTCACCCTGAGATCTGGACCAGGTGGGCCCAAGGTGGGCCAGGAGATACAAGGCGAAGGCCCACTGGGGAGGCCGCAGGTGAATCTGGTCTCTGTAGATCCCTTGTGAGGATTCGATGCTAAACCACACGCCCTCTCATCCGTGACCAGCGAGAACTGGGTCACTCTTCAGGGCATGCCACAGACTCCTGCTTCTAGACGGGGCTTGGCTGGAGCCAGACTGGCCTTCAGGATTGTTCAGTCTCCACAGGGGAATCTGGCCTCCCGTGGGCTGCCACAGGGCCAATCCCAGTGAAAGAAATAAAATGATTGGATATGTTTATGTTATTAGGAAAAGGATGCAGCAGCGGGTGGGAGGAGTTAATGGAATCACATTTGCAGCAACATAGTTGTCTAGTGTGCAGCTGCACTGTAGGGTGACTGTCGCTAACAATAATTTATTGTGTATTTTCAAGTAGCTACAAGAGAGAATTTTGAATGTTCCTGTCACCTGAATAACAAAGACAGGCTCTCATCCAAAAGAAAAAGATACTTAATCAAAAGTAGGGCATTGCAACGGGAATATGCGCTCCATAGTAAACTGTGTGCATATTCCAGGAGGTAAAGAAAGACAAAGGTTTTTAAAGGAAAAAATGAGGTTTTAAAATAATTATCCTTGGCTACGAATATCAGTAACAAAGGTCACAGCAGTCCGAGGTTGGACAGGCAGTTGTCCTTGTAGAAGTAATTTTTGTGTGAGGTTGCGGCAGCCTGTGGGCAACATTGTAATTTTTACAGGATCTTTTGTGATCATTTTTGGTATTAGGCATACAAGCATAAGAATCCCCTCTTCATGGCCTCCCCAGCTCTATTTGTTACCGTTTTTTTTTTTAAAACACTAGTGACTCCATTTGAATTCTAACGACTTTCACATTCCCAACACAAAGATATGATAAATGTTTAAGGGATTAATATGCTAATTACCCTGATCATTACACACTGTATACATGTTTCAAAATATCACACTGTATACCATAAATATGTACAATTATGTGTCAGTTAAAAATAATTATTTTTAATAATAGAACCAGAAAAAAAGATGCAGACCCTCTAATAAGGAGATGGGATCAGGAATGATTCCATGGTTAATTTAACCCACATAAACAACTAATCAATTATGGTATGAGCGTTTATGTAAAGACTGTGGCAACAGGAAATGCCTTTCTTTGAACGCAGGATTATCTAACCAGCACACCAATGGTGAAAGATTAACTTTGTCGGAAACCAGGAACCATGAAGCAGAGGTCACTGTTTCCATCCTGCGTGTTTTCCACTGTAATCGGCAGCCTCCCACTGAGTTTATACCCAAGAGAAATGAAAACATATGTCCACGCAGAAATTTGAATACAAATGTTCATAGCATTATTCATAATAGCCCAAAGTGGAAACAACCCAAATGTTCAACAGTGGATGAATTGATGAACAAAATATGTATCCACACAATGAATAAAAAGAAAGTGCTGATGCATGCTCCAACACGGATGAACCGTGAAAATACTGTGATGGGGAAAGAGACCAGAGACAAAGGGCCACGTGTTGTAGGATTCCATGTGTATGAAGTGTCCTAATAAGCAAACTCATAAAGACAAAAAGCAGATCAGTGGTCACTTAGGGCTAGGGTGAGGAGTGGCCGTTAGCGGGCACTGAGTTTCTTTGGGGGTAATGGAATTAGATGGTGGTGACTGCACAATTCTGTGAGTATACTAAAAACCAGTGGATTGTAAGAGGGTGGATTTTATGATATATGAATTATACCTCAAAGCTGTTACTTAAAACATGTGGAAAATAATAAGCAGTCACTTGCTATTCTCAATAAAACAGACCACATAGGTAAGACCGATAGTGTCACATTTTGGTTTTGGCTGAGAATGGGGCAAGTGAGCATAGTCACCCTTGTTGGTTCATAAAAATAAAAGTTTATCTGGAATGACAGCCTTTTACCATGTGCCAGGTACTGTACTGTGCACTTGGCATATACCAATTCATGTAGTCCTTGTGCCAGCTCCATGATACAGACATTTCATTATCTCCACTTTTTAGATGGGGAAATTGAGGTTAGGAGAGTTGAATAACTTGCCCATAACTGCACAGCTTCCAAGTTGCAGAGACAGAATTTTCACCAAGTTGTCTTGCAAACTCCTCGTGTGGATTGGAAATTCTGTATTAAGGTTAATTTATTCATTTGTTGTTTAGTTCTATTCATAATTATTGAGTTACCAATGGCAGTGTCAGAGGATTTACCATTTAGCCCAAAGCTACTCTAAGAAAAAAAATGTTCTTGCTGCTAATGTACAAAAAGGTAAAACCGTGACTCTTGCAAATAAAACATGAACATGTATCCAAGCTTTTATTTAACTCACTGATAGAGGGAACCAGTAAGATGTCAAAAACAGTTCAAATGGGAATTTGATGTACAGAAATTTATATTCTAACAAAATTTGTGTGGTTCACTGTAAGGAAACATTTGCTTTGGCAGATTAGGCACGAAGCAGTTGCACCAGCCAGCTTAGCCTTTGGAGGGAGAATTCATGTTATTGGACCCACACATATCCTCTGTCCCTGCTGCCAGGAGCTCTCAGTTCATCGGCACATTGAGCAGACACCACAGCAGCTGCATAGAGAGGCTGGCTGACAGCCACAGAGCATGCAACTCTGTCCATCTGATTCTGAGTCTCCTCTGCAGTGGATGCCCTTCAATGGGCATTCACTTGAGATGCAAGTATCTTCAGTCCGTGCCCATTCAGAGGGGTTCAGCTACATATCTCTTTCCAAGATTTTCTTGTCACTAGTCATCCAGTCCTGTTCTTTTTAAGCCCCTGACCATCCAGCCTGACCATCTAGTCAAACCAGCGACTGTCCATGAATCAATGTAGGCGTGTACTCTGGCCATCTCTCACTCCAGACATAGACAACCTTGAATTTCTGCCCACTGGAAGGATTCTCCTTCACCACTGTCCTTCACAGACACCCCTGAGTGAGTGTGAGTGAATGCTGCAGCTGTTCTCTTTCATGTGGTACCAGCACATCACATAGACCCATCTATAATCTAGGCTGGAGGTTTTTCTCAGTCAACTGGCCATAAGTAGCATCGCTGGAGGCAATAGGTATGACATGAGGGAGAGGAGGCAAAGCAACAGGAGTTGATGTTGGAAGAGTCTGAGCTACCTGCTCATACAATTTACAGTTGAATTCTCAACCTGCCTGGGCTAAGTTTCTAATACGCCACTTCCATTTGATGATAGATTGCTGCTATGTACATTCAACTTTATGGCTACATAGGTCAGATGACATCCAGCTCATGATGGGAGCTCAGACTCCATTGTATCTTCAGTGCTAAGAGGGGGAGGCCTAGCACCCCAAAGGCTCTTACTAAATATGAATGAATACAGCCAATATTGGCCCTCTAGCAGCCCCCAAGAAAATTCGCTCTTTTCCTGCCACATGCACCAGACCCAAAAGAAAGGACTCTCCAATACAGACCTGGGTGCTTTCCAATCTAGAGATGCAGATAATGCCCAAGGGAGTGGTCTGTACGCGGCCATGTGTAGCCTTTCTCCGGCTCTCCTTAAGAGGAGGCTGAGGCCGGGCGCGGTGGCTCAAGCCTGTAATCCCAGCACTTTGGGAGGCCGAGGCGGGTGGATCACGAGGTCAAGAGATCGAGACCATCCTGGTCAACATGGTGAAACCCCG